TTAGTGGTGCTTTCTTCCATGTTATATGAAATGTTTTTCCCTACTTTTATATTACAAGTAGCTAAATTTACTTCTTAGGTGCATGGTTGGTACAAAATTTAACACCTAGAGGAAGTGCAAATGTTAATGGGTTTTTAGAGAGCTTTGATCGTGAGCTTCCTCTGTATGCCCGTATCTAGAAGGTACTAGGTCCTGCCCATGTGGCAGAGATTCAACTTCCTCCTACCTCTTTCTGCCGTTTCTGTCTCTTCTTCCTTCTCATGCTTCTTTCTGAATTCTGCTGTCACTGGGGTAAGAAATTCAGGTTACAAGATGCAATTAGGAAGAATCTCCCACCACTGCATGTATTGAACTGCTTCCATTCCACGTCAGTCTACGAGCTTGGGAGGGGGGACTTGAACATCTTCACTTAGCAGTCCTTGCTTCCATTCCAGAAGAGCCTCCACTGGCATTAGCAGAACAGGACTGTTGAGTTGCTTTCTCCTGAAGTCCAATAGGTAATTTACAGAAGTAAATAGCACCAAGCGGCAGTGTGGTCCCAGCTCTGCTGGGCATGCTGGTAGCTGTGCACCTCTGTCTTAACTGGGAGCTGCTCTGGGTGCTGCAGCAGTTGCTCCCCTGGAAACAAAAAAACTGGAAGACAATTCAGACCCCCCCTGGAATGTGCGATACCTCCCATGTCTGGAGCATAGCGAGAACTGGGCAGAATTTGCCTGTTGCCTGGCTCCAGCCTGGAGCCCACCACTGAAAGAGCCTTGCTGCATCAGTGTTGCAGTAGCATTGCACTAGACCCTTGGCTACCCAGCTTGGAGTGATTGTGGCCTTGATCTTGCTACCAACATGCTGCTTGGGAGCTGTATGCTGATTAAGGCTACACACACTCACAGTCTCTGGGGGACAAATTTAGAAGCAAATGCAAATAGAACTTTATATATATTCACTGTCATCTGTCATCCCAACCCCTTCCATGTGCCATCTGTTGTCTGAGGTTGCTGAGCCTGATGAAGCGAGGTGACAGGAGGTAAAGGTTCCCTGTCTGAATTTAAAGGTCTATCATGACTTCCTGAGCTGTAGGTGCATCAGCAGCCATGGTTCTCTTATGGCTGCTGCTGAGAGAAGGCATCCAGGGCTTTGCTACTGTGTAGTTACTGGCAGCAGAGAGAGCAGCCTTGTGCTTTGTGTCCAGTCTGAGTTTCTTTCCAGTGAGAAAGTTGCTGCTGAACAAATAGAAAGGCTGACCTTACAGCTCTGGAGCAGATATGTTGGTGCTGCCATTTACCGTGCCATATTCAGGGTTTCATGGTTTTATATCTGAGATGTGATTCTCTGAGCACATAAACATTATTATTTTTAAGATGCCTCTTTTATTTTCTGTTGCCTTTTTTTTAACCTGTGTCCTTAGACTGGGTAATTGGAACCCACATAAACTGTTCCCTTTTCACCTTTATAAGTCTTGTTAGTGAAGAAGAGTCGTTTTGCTACAGCACCAGCAGCCTGACTAGCTAACACCTGGTGGAAACCAAGGACTCCTTGTGGACTTGACAGTTTGAGTAATACATCATTTCACCTTGAAGTGCAGGGTGAACTTCACTTTTGGGGTCTCCTGGCTAAATGAGATTTACAGCTCTCCATTCTTGGAGCATGTACTTCTTGTTTTGGGGGAGGAGTACAGGAATGTTGAGCAGCTGTGGCCTTTATGCACCAATTCACTGTATTGTTATTTGTCATGAGTGCCTTGGCATTATGTATGACATCCACTGGTGGGTAGAGCAGCTATCTTTCTGCTCTGCATTTCTCATCATTTTCCACCCTCTATTTTTTTCCATCAGTCATTCCTGCCTCTCCTTTTTTGATCTTCTTTTTACCAACAGTATTTTCTCCTCCTGTTTCACTGCTGATATAAACTGAAACAGTGAACACTGACATTTAAACTGCTGCTAATAAGGGCTGAATTGCCAGCAAAGTTAAGAGCCTGTGGAGAGCCTTCATTGCTCAGACTCATTGTTTCAGGCTGTCTGCAAACCCAGGATGGTTACACTGAGCTGGCTCATCTGGGAGGAGGTTTTTGCTACTACCAGCTCCTGGAATATCCTTTTGTTCTAGAAATCAAAGCTGAATCCTGCACATTCTGAACATATGCCATAAAGACCATGTGAGCAGAACCACGTGAGCTGCATTGGGCCTATATTTCAGAATATCAACAAGTACAAGGTATAGGGAATGTTTCTCACAAAAGGTATAAAGAAGAGGAAGTACAGACAGGATAGCAGTGTTTCCGCAGAGCTGTGAGAGACACCAGCACTGAGGGTAAACACAGGCGCTTAGTTTTGTTGCTCCAGCAATCAGACCCACCATTCCTGGGTGCCTGCTGCATTGTACAGTGCTGGCCTGGGTGGGCTGTCAGTATGTATATGCATCCAGGTCAAAGGGAGGATGTGAACTGGGCACTGTTGTCTGACTGCTGTCAGCTCTATGTCTGGCTTGAGTGACTGAAAGCCTTTTCAGTGCTACAGACTGTATCCTCGGGACCTCAGCCATCAGCTGAGCGTGCTGCCTTCCTCTCTGTCGCTGAGCTAAACTGCACAAGGCTAATTCAACAAATTACTTCATCTTAACCCAAGCATACACCCTGAGCTCTGGGGAATTGTGCTAGTTTCTGTCCCTTTCTTACAATGTAGCAGCAAGCTGGTACTCTACCTTATTTTTCATTTTCCTTGTTTTAAACAGCATCCCAAGCAGCTTGAACACAGTTGCTTTTTCTTGTCTGTCTTTTCTTTTTCTTTGCTAAAGGGAATTGAAATGAAACCACACCATTCGCAGAGAGCAGCCATGGTAGAAATGGTGGGTTGTCAGGCTCAGAGGAGGAGATGCCAGAATAAGTTCAGCAATGACATGATGTTCATTAGCCACAAGAGATGGAGGAGGAAGATCAAGCACTTGTTTTCAAAGGGATGCCTTTGCTTCTAGTGACTGGAGGGAGGGCTGACTTCCAATTTCCAGGCGCAAGGAAATGACAGCTGCAGAAAATGTTCCTTGTTCAGAATACACCAAAATTACCATCTTCTGCCTAGTTATTTGCTGCTAAGAGATTCTGCTTTGAACATGTTCCCGATTCCAGCACCTCAGGAATTCACAAAGGGCGACCATTTCCAGTGATTCTTTTATTTAGGAACTTTGCTGGGTGCTTTACAATTTGTAAAGGGCCTAAGTATTATCACTGAGCTTTTTGTTTTTTGAAGTAAAGCAATCAGCATTTTTATATCCTAAAGCACAAGCTGAGCGCTTGGCAAAAAGCAGGCTTACAAGATGCTGGATGTTGAAAGGAAGCAGTCTCACAGTTAGAAGTGGGACTTGTAAATTTTAGGAATTCAGACTTGCTCAGCCTCTTTGAGGGTAGACAATACTTTCTGCCTCAGTTTCCCCTCTCCAGTGTGGGAAGAATACTGCTTTGTCTGTCACTTTTGTCTGTCTAAAGAGGGAACATTTCAACTGAAAAATGCCTTGCTTTGTGCTTGTATGGCATATTATGTAACAGGACCCTGCTGCTGAGTGGTGCTATGCCAATGCAAGTCGATATCACCAGTCTTTTCCTGGATGGTCCTTTACTCCAAGTTGCAGGAGATCAGGAGCTGCTTGTTCTCAGATGAATTGCAGTAAGGCTGTCTAAGAACCCTGGGAGCCTCTGGGGAGATGTCATTCACAGTGGCAGTTCCTGCCATTGTTTTTTAGACTGCATTTTTGAAAGATATCCAGTGCTGCCTTGCAATAAGCAAACAAAACACAATTAATCTTTCTTCTGAAAAAGTGACTTGAATTGGATGTCCAGAACCTTGGCTGTGTTACCAGCAAAGCTGTGTGAATTTCAGTGACCAGCAAGTATGTGCTGGATCTGTGTACCATCCCTGACTACTTAGCATGCTGAAAATCAAATTCGAGTGCTGTTGCTGCTTTTCCAAGCTTTATGTGGATGGAGTTAGACTTATGTCTGTCAAGGGTTGATAGTTTACCAACAAGTTGATCTTAAAGAGAGAAAGAGAGAAGGTTTAATGATGAGGAAGCAAGACTCTGCCCCAGCCCTAATTTCAAGAAGTTGCTCAAATTTTTGAAGCTTCTAGCAAGGTTCAGTGCTGCTGCTGCAGGACACTATATTTGTCTGCTTCATGTTTAGACCTGGATTTTAGTATTAGTTTGCTCAGTAAGAGAATACATGCATTTAAAATGTACTCAGCTAGCACAGCTCCAGCAATTAGCAACCTAACAAAAGGTACTAATTTGATGCAGCCATTAAACCCTCCATGCTTGAGTACTCCATTGGTCCAATTGTTGCGAAGTGCTGTGAAATGCCAGCTCTCAGCACTAGCAGGGCACCGAGTGAATGCTGACAGCCTGCAGCAAACTGTCTTGTAGGCTTTAGAGCAGTCCATCCCTCTTTAATTCAATACCCTCAACAGAAGTTCAGTACAAGAGCAAAACTTCAAAATGCCAGTCCCCATCAAAGCTTCTGTCTGCCTTTCAGGCATGCGTGGAGGAACAGGCGGCCAGAAAGATTGGATAGAAAAGAGGAGATGCCAGGAGCTAAATGCAGCCTTGCTATCTTTCACCTTCATAGCATGCCCTGAGGAATGGGAGTCCTGCCTGTCTGTATGATACCAAAGGCCCACAGGGCTGTACTATCTGCTTTTTGGACAGTGATATCCAGGGTCTAAGTTTCTTTCGATAATTACACCACCTTTTTGCCCTCTCTCCCCCTTGATCCTACTGGAATTGGATAGTGGGCAAGCTGAAGAACTGGGCAGGCTGCTGCTCTTAAACTGGTGATGCTGGCACAAACCAGCTTTGGTCGCACTGACAAGGAGAAAATGGGACTGGGCTTCATATGCCTGAACTGTTAGCATTCCTCATGTCATTGACTCACCAGCCCAAAGCCTCGTTTGTATTGTTTTGAACACACTGGCTAATGAGCGCTTTAAGGATGATTTGTTTTTCCTTTCTGGTTTCAGGTCCTCAAAGCTGCTGCGTGCATTCTACGTCCCTCTCCTCTCAGAACAGTACACATGGTATGCAAACTATACTATTCTGAAATCCCGGAGGTTGAAGCAAACCAGGAAAAAAATGGGAGGCTAGCAACACACCTGGGCAACAAAACCAAAAGCATCTGCTGACACTCTTGGACAGCTGCCCTAAGCCATCTTCAGTTCCGTTTTTGAGAGATTGCGCTTGTAAGATTCACTAATAAAGATTTCCCATGAAGTGATTTCGCGCTGCAAGCTTCCAGCTGTAAAAAGAGTGCATCATCTGCTTTCAGTTCTCAGTGTCAGGTCTCTGCTCTGCCTACACAGAACATATTGGTAAGAAACCATTTGAAAATCCAGCAGCCACCTACGAACGTATTATCCCTGATGCTCCTTGTGTTATTATCTATTACACCAGAGAAGAGAAAAATGAAAAATAAAAAGGAATGACTGAGGTTCTGCTCCAGGTTGCAATTTGGCACTGGGAAAATCCAGCTCAGCCTCTCTCTTTCTCTCTCCTGCCCCCACGCCCCCTCCACTGTCCTCATCTGCTTAAGTAGTGTTTACCTTCTCCTAGGAAATTTTTTTATTAAAGAAAAAGGAAGGGGTAAAGAGGAAAACACCTGAGAGACAATTAACTGAAATGCACTGAATCTCAGGGAATGAAGTAGCGTGCACCATGGAGAAACAGCCTGAAGTTGCTCTGTCCAGGAGACACTGTCAAGCATAAATCTGTGCTTTTGGGAGAAAAAAACCCAAACTTAGGAGTTGAGCCAATTATCTGTTTTAACGGGATCGGTGTTTTTGTTATCTGTGAAACCAAGGGTTTGTTTGCTATTTATAATAATTTTTTAAAGATGCCTATTGAATTCTACTCCTTTGAATTCTAGACTACAGCATCTTAAAATTTCTAGAAACATCCAGAGAGGAGAAAAAGGATTAATTTTTTTTTTTTGCAGTTCTGTTTCCTAGAATAGACAGTATGTGTTACATTGGTCCAATATGCTTCAGAGCAATGCTGTATTTATTGTATCTCCATTTTTAAAACAGGCAGTGTCACAAGCTAGACGAAGAGAGTTGTTTTCATTCACATCCTTGGAATTCTGTGGGGATGGAATGACATGAGATGGAGCAGAGAGGAAGTTCCTTTTGCAAAAAGGCTGCACAAGCTCCGTGCCCCCCTGTGACTGTGATTAGATTGGTCTGCGTGTGCAGTGACAGAGTGCTAGAGCAGGTGGGTCAGGAAGCAGACTTGTATGTTTGGAAGCTGTTGGGATCCAAACAGAAAAGCATGTGCCTCTGAGGATACATGTGTTGGTCCAGGTGCAGAATGAAGTCTAGGCAGGTCTCTTGGCCAGTCTGCAGGTTAACAGCTGAGCAGGATGGGAAGGGCAGACTGTAGCAACGGGGCTGTGATCTAACATGATACTGCTGGGACAAAGCAGGAGGAGCTGGATGAGGAGCAAGGCATGGGCTGAATCATAAGAGCAACCTTAAAACATAGGGAGAGGTGTTCTGAATCCCCTGCATTTCATTAAGGATGAGTTTTTTTTAACAGTGTTGTGCTCTATTGGAAACACAGCTTATAAAGTGCAAAACATGATAAAAGCAAACAGTATGTTTCTTTGTTGCCTGGATGATTACAGCATGGAGAGTGCAGTTCTCTTCCATTGCACCCCCATTGTATGGAGGAGCAGTTTGAGCTGAGACACTAAATTCAAACTTTGAAGGCTTAGGGAACCATCTGTGGCTCTCTTCAGAGAGATGGATTTCACCCTGTGCAAATATCGCCCTTCGTAAGAGTCAAATGTGGAGCTTCAAGGTTTTCAGCCAAGAAACTGGTGTCTTAGGTGAGTTGGTCTGGAAGCTGGGAGTCACGTTGCAGATCAATGTTGTAGTTCATAGTATTCATGCTGTGTTCATAGTATTTCCCCACCTCCCTCCAGCCGCCTCTACCCCTCATAAAAGTTTACATGTGTTGAACAGGGCTCTACAGTGCCAGTAAATCAAAACCAAAACTCTTGCCCTGCTTGTTGCCTCTCCCTTTGGTAATCTCTGACCTTAAATAAACAAACAAATGCAGTTAAAGAACCAATTGCACCTCTCTCTGGTGCTGTTTGTGTGACTGTTCCATGTTGTCATAGTCCGTAACCTCATGTTTAATGTGAAAAAGACAGTACAGTAAAGATCCGTTTTAAATGACACTGGCTGCTTCACCTTCCTCTCCAGTTTGATTCCTGTTTTGGGGTGGTGGTGGGAAGCTGATAACTTGACAATAAGTAGGAGTTATCAGTGTTTTCCAGAGGAATGCAGCAAATGTTTGGTTCCTGGTAGTAAACACAGGTGCGGCTCTAGGTAGTGGACAGCTGGACAGCTTTGCATTCCAGAGTTTCAAATCAAGGCAGGGACTTAATTTTGCTGCTTACTGTGCAAACAGGTGCAGTCAGTCCTGCCATCCAGAGAATTTGCAGGCTAAAGAGATGAGGCAGAGAAAGGGAGTGTTGTTACTCTCATTGATGACAAGAGTAGATCACATTTTAATGCTGATTTCAGGGGGAAGTTGGGAGTCTCAGTGCTGCAAAGATCTTGACCCAGCAACCTATTTAAGGTCACACATGGAGTCTGCCTACAAGTTGTTTCTCAGCTAGTGTCTTTGGCACAGAACCAGCCTTTCTGGCAGCAGGTAAAGGAGCCAGGGCCTCTCTTCCTTTAGTCCCTGCTAATGCATAATTGTTGTCATGGGTAGTGCTACCGGGTGGCCGGAATGTAGCAGAGGCAATCTATCAATCCCAGCTGAGACCACTGGGAATGAGAAGGTGAAGTTGCTGCTAATGGTGTTTCTATCATAGAGACAGAGCCATAGGTGAGATTTCTGATAGGAAATGCTAAGGTTTCCCTCGTCTTTTCTTAATTCACAAGTCAGGACTGCTGCAGTCTGTGCGGAGCTGAGATTAAGCAAAAAGCCATCAATAATTGGAAGATTACTTGTAAATAAACAGACTTGATGGAGTGAGCAGTACAAGTCCAAGGAGTATGTGCATCGGGGCCTGAAGAAGAGACTGCAAGAATTGCCTACCTGGCTTAGATTTAGCTGGATGAAGGATCTTGCTTTTTGAATGCAGATGTGGATGCAAAGAGGTTTGCACCAAAAGGTGGAGCTGCATCCAAAACAAAACATTTTTAAAGGTATTTTGTAGTTTGCTTTTCTAGTTTTGTTAGCAAGCTTGAGGGAGAGGCTTCTGATTTTTTTTCTTCTCTTCTTTTTGCTTTGACCCTAATTAAAGCAAATATATGATCTCATGGTGAGGAGGCAGGTTTGGGACAGCTAATTTATGATCTGTATTAAAAAAATAAAGTAAGTATTGTGGTTTGCGAGCTTGTGGGTAAAGGGTCAAACCACAAATTGCTGATCTGCCTCAGCTGGATTCCCAGCCTTGACTTGCCTTGGGCAGAGAGGGGTGTTGTGACCAAACCTGTTGGGCAGCACATCAGGATTGTGTAGGCAATCCACCTTCATCTCCTTTCTGTCTCTGGAGAAAGGTCTCTTTGTATTATTCTGGCTGGTTCTGGAAAAGAAGGTATCTAGATGACTTTCTACAGTGCTGCTAGTGTCTGACCTGACACACTGACAGAAGCTGGTTTCTTGACAGAACCATAGATGGGCACAACCTTGCAGTCATGGTTGTGGCTAGATCAGGCGTCTCGCATGAAGCTGAGACAGTCGCAGTTGGTTGGAGAATGTACAGGGGTTACAGTATTCCTAACCCCCTCTTTGCTGGCAGTATTTCTCTACCTGTAAACTGAGGCTGAGAGCACTGCAGGTTGGACAAGTGCTGCTGTGAAATACTGGGACCCAGTAAATTTCATCTTGTCTGAGCTCAGCCAGTCTTTGCAACAAGGAGCACTGAGGTGGAGAGTCCCTGAGGAAGCACCAGCAATGAGACAGATTGACACTCTCAGAAATAGGCTGAGGGAAGTCACGATTTCCACAGAACTATTTTTTCCTGCCTGTCTGCTGCAGCATGATTTAAGGTTCATTTTGGTTTTGCTCCTGCTTTTTCTGCCTGTTCCTGGGGTTCAGCTGCAACCTGCTCCAAAGTCAGGCGTATGTGTAAGCTGCTCATCTCCACCTAGGGCTCTGCCTGGGCTTGGGGACACATCAGAAGAGGGCACTCCTGGACTCGAACATGTTTCCAAGGATGTTCAATGCAAATTTGCTCGTTTTTGAAAAGAAAACAAAAAGGACACTGCAAGGTGATACTTAAGCTTTCCTTGACTCATGGGTTTTTTCCTGTTCAAAGTTTTTGTCTTCTTTCTGTAGGAAAATTATTTGAAATAATGTACTCTCTTAGAAGTTAGGAGCTGAGAGTGTGTGTGAAGAAGTAGGGGCAAAGGAATTGAGATGTGTGAAGCATGGACATGAATAACAGTGAATAAATGATGAGGGCTGTTTCTAGGCTGGGAAGGCTTCAGGCTGGCTTAGATGGGAATGCCACAGGCCAGCTTTCAGGTGTGACTGGCAGATCTGCACGGGAGCTGGTTGTTCTAGGACAGATTTATGGCGTGTTGGCAGCCGGTCTGTCATATCAGAGCGCAGCTGCTGCTTGACAACTCTTCTCTCCATAGGAATGGGGAAGCACTTTCACTTGCCATTTTGCATTGCCAACATACAGGAGATTTCTGTAAAGCATGGTGGGGGGACGTTGTTTCCAAAGCAGACTGTGCATCCTCTGAGTGATATTGATGGGACCGGGCCAAAGTTTGGTACCTGGGACAGTGTGATGGTCAATGTCAAATAACAACTGCTCTTTCCTCTCCCCTATTCTTCTGCCTTGTCTCTAGTGAGCCTAACGCTTAGACAGTTCTTAGTTGTGGCCTTACTTGTAACAGCTCTTTCCTTGCTACTTGTACTAACCTCAGAAGCAGGGACTATTTTAGTATTTGAGTCCACCTCACTTCCAACAGAAGGTATCGAGTCAGTAGGTTGTGTGTTTATTTTGTTGCTGTACAAAAGGGCTCAAAGTAGCAGTGGAGAGAGGCCCTGGTAATGAAATTCTGTGGGTTTGATTTCCTTGCTCTCCAGGCACTTTTGGAGGAAAGAGCTGTGAATTTCTTTCTCCTCCAGCATCTGTCAGAAGCTGAGCATCATCCCAGCCCTGCTGAGATTCAGCGCATGTCCCCGTGAATAACTGCACATGTCTCTATCCGCTTGCCTGGAGAGGTACTAATGAGGCCCCATCTGTCTGCTTTGCAA